GGTCATCTGAGTATCAGCAGGAAAAGAGTAGAAGTTATAAAAAGAGGAGAAAATATCTGAGAAACTGGATTCAGACAGTGAAGGGTGGAGAGATCCAAAAAACGGAATCTTCAGGAACATTAAGAGTTCAGCTCTAGCCCTCCGCCTTTCTCTTTCCCTTTTCTAGGTGATCTCATCTGATTATAGAGCCAACTTGGCTAAACAACCATGTACACTCACAATTCCAATCTTCCTTGTTATGAATAGACATAGAAATGCAAACAAAATGCAAATACTTAAGGAAACAATGAAAGCATTCTATGTACAAGCAGAGAAATAAAAACAACATAAAGCTATAAGGAACAGATTTCTATGGGAAAATTAACTTCCAATTTTTAGTATTTGTGAAAATATTGGTCTTATTTATAGGTAAAAGGAGATAGATTTTTGGAAGCTTTAGGAATCAACCATGGTGTACATGGGAGTCCTTGAAGTGTTAAACATTGTTGAAAAAAGACTCAGAACCTATGGTAAATATAAAACAAATTTATTTTAGAACCTGGGAATCAAGAAGTCAAAAGAGTGTTTTTATATGTTTATATTTTTTTGAGCAAATACATTTAAAAATAAACTCACAAATGAAGATAAATAATGGTGACGTAGTTTAGATCATGATTGTGTAAGATTTTGAAGGCTATAAGAATAAAATGTTCCCAGAGGTCTCAAAAATATAAACAGGGGAAAAAATTTTAATGTAAACTTTTAAAAATTTCAGTAGCAAAGAGACGGAATGACAAGAGGGAAAACGTGCAGACAGGCTGGATGGTGTAGTCTGAACTGGAGAACATGTGCGAGATTTATAACTGCTGTTTCATACAACGTGCAGAAGGATACTCCCAAATATAATATTGGTGTGAGTAGACATCTTGGGTGTGACAAATGAGGAAAGAGAACAAGAAAAGACACATGCCAAAAGTTGACATGATAGCTGTACGCACTACACTTGGACAGGAAACATTGAGAGGAAAAAATTAACCAGCAGAGAGAGGTCCAAAGGCTGTGTCTAAAAAATTATATAATCTTGAGTTCAACCACAGACTTTGAGAAAACTGCTGAGTCCGTATGACCCTCACTCAGTTTCAGAGTCCAAAGCTAGTAGTCAGTCAGGAGATTAACTGGTGGCTTCAAATTATCAGTAAAATAATAAAACCAAATTAGAAGTCAAAATTCTTAGTTGTTGTTGCTGCTGGGGATGGAACCCAGGGTCCTGAGCATGCTGAGTATGTACTTTGTAACTGAGCTTTAGGCCAAGCCCAAGTTAAACTTCTCTTAAACACCATAACCAACTCAGAAGAGCAAACTTCAACCACTCTTTTTATATGGGCTTAAAATAAATTCCTCATTGTGTGACCTTGACTTATTTAGGAATCTCTCTTGACTCTAAATTATAAAGTTATAAAAACAAGAGTAAGCAGAGTGACTTTAGTTTAGTTGGAGATACAGTAATCAGCCCACAGAATGCATCCTTTAGTATATGCTTAATGTTGGATGAAATGTAGTTGCACCTTTATTCTGTACTCCTATGGCTAGGATTAAACCAGTTTAATTTGTCCCTGGCTTTATTTGTCTCTCCTCAGAAGTCTGACTTAATCACTTTGGATTAAGTAGGTTGAAATTTAAACCAAAGTCAGAAGTTTTTT